TCGTCAACAAACAAGAAAGATATTGAGACTTTAGTTTCAGCCAATCAGAGCATAGCGCACGTGTATGCGCGTGAGATCTTGCTTTTTTGACCATGTCATCTTGTCTATGCTTCTAATATATACTTATAATATGAGTTTCAAAGCATTTCATCAATAATTTAAATAGTTACGTCTGTATCAATTATGTAGGACATTTCTCATGTTGCACGTGCGAGCTCTTGCAAGCACACATGCATGCACATGCTTTCATGATAATTCTTATATTACAGGCTGTAGATCTCCCTAATGTATGACTATGTTCAAAATTTCAAATGATTTTATCAAAAAACAAGAAAGATATTGAGACTTTAGTTTCAGCCAATCAGAGCGAAGCGCACGTGCATGCGCGTGCGATCTTGCTATTTTGACCATGTCATCTTGTGCATACTACTAATATATCCTTACATTATGAGTTTCAAAACATTTTGTCAAAAAATAGAAAAGTTACGGTTTTATCCATTATATATTGGTAATTTCAAGTTTTGCACGTGCGCGCTCTTGCAAGCACGTGCGCGCAAAATGACCTTGATTCCGCAAATCTACATACCATGTCTACTGACCCTAAAAACATTTCACCTAAATCGGATGTATAGTTTACAAGATCATTCGCGGACAAAATTTTCCCGAGAAGAAAAATAATAATAACTAGATGTGATCTCGTTGCAAGCAACGAGTAGGTCTTCCGTTGGATTTTTGATACGATCATGAAACAACTTTAAATAAAACAAAAGTTCATATCAATTCCTCTAAATACGTGAGATCACATTTAAGAGTGAAATCTGTAAACTTCCGGTCTTTATAATTCACTTCCGGTGTGACCGGAAGTACTAAAAATGACGTATAACTCCTCTCTGAGTGTGAAGGAATCATCCCTGATAATTTCGATGAAAAATGCTCATTTTTTGGACTACTTCCGGTTTGGAAAAAATAACTTCCGGTGGACATAATAATACTCGAGACACTCTATTTGCGTATATAAGAAACATTTATAAAAGAAAAAAATAAAATTTTGCATATTTTTAAACTACTTCCGGTGGACAACGGACGTGACGGCAACAAAAACTTTATACAAAATTCAAGAGAGCCTGTCACAATCTATCATCCCTGAAAGTTTCAAGACTCAATCTCAAACCGTTTTTGAGAACACTTCCGGACAAAATGACACTTTAAAAAAAGAAAATTGGCCGTATCTCGAGACCGGAAGTGACGACGGCAAAATAAAAAAAAACGCCCTAAGTTCATATGATTTGCCATCATTGCTGAAAGTTTCGTAAAGATCTGTCGAGGCGTTCTCGAGAAATCGCCTGCACAAAATCGGTAAGAAAAAAAATAATAATAATAATAATAGTGGAAAAGAAACAAACGAATCAGTAGAAGGTCTTCCGTTGGAGACGGAAGACCTTAATAATAAGAAACAGAGTAAAAACTAGTGCTAATTGTAACGGGGACCGTTACAGATGTTCCCCAAACGCTCCCCAACTCCCTTTTGGTGCCATAGTCCCTGTAAGTTTCATTAAATAGGACAAAATCTATGCATTTGAGACTTTAACAACGCCAAGTTCATTCAAATTTTAGCATTGCATGCGTGCGCATGTGAATGCATGTGCGTAATGACCATATCATCTTGCCTACACTATCTATATATTTTTTTATAAATTAAATATTAAAGTATTTAATCCAAAAGTATTAAAAAATACGCATTCAAGTGTATCTTTGATTTATCTCATTTCACTTGCACACATGTGCATACATAAGCATGGTGACCATATCTTCTTGTAGAAGTCCATTACATCTATTTATGTTCTAAATCCCACCCCGTTTGGTTGAAAACCAAGGGAAATATAGCTGTTTAAAGTTTCAGCCAATCAGATTGCAGCGTTCGTACATGCATGTGTATGCATGTGCATGTTGACCATACCTTCTTGTAGAAGTTTATTATATCTATCTATGTTCCAATTCCCATTCTGTTTGGTTGAAAACCAAGGGAGTTATAGCTATTTAAAGTTTAAAATTTTTTAAATTTTTAAAGTTTTAAATTTAAAGATTGCAGCACACCTGCATTCGCGAGCTCTCATGATAATTGCTATAAATCATGTTGTAGGATATATTAATGCATGGCTATATTCAAAATTTCATAGGATTTTGTTGAAAAACAAGAAAGATATTGAGACTTTAGTTTCAGCCAATCAGAGCAAAGCGGACGTTTATGCGCGTTAGATCTTGCAATTTTGACCATGTCATCTTGTCTATACTCCTAATATATTCATGCATTGTGAGTTTCAAAAAATTCCATCAAGAAATAGAAAAGTTACGGCTTCGTCCATTATATTGGTAATTTCACATGTTGCGCGTGCGCGGTCTTGAAAGCACATGCGCATGTACTTGCTTTCATGAAAGTTATTATTTATCATCCTGTAGATCTTCATAATGTGTGACTAAGTGCAAAATTTCGAAGGATTATGACGTAAAACAAGGAAGATATTGAGACTTTAGTTTCAGCCAATCAGAGCGAAGCACACGTGCATGCCCCTGAGATCTTGCTATTTTGAGCATGTCATCACGTCTATACTACTAATATATATTTATATTATGTGTACCAAAGCATATAATCAAAAAGTAGAAAAGTTACCGCTATATCTATTATTTTGGTCATTTCACATGTTGCACGTGCGCGCTCTTGCAAGCACGTGCGCGCAAAACGACCTTCGTTCCGCAAATCTACATAACATGCCTACTGACCCTAAAAAGGTTTCACCTAAGTCGGACGTGTTGTTTACAAGATCATTCGCGGAAAAGATTTTCCCAGGAAGAAGAAAAATAATAATAATAATAATAATAATAATAATAATAATAAGAAACAGAGTAAAAACAATATGTTCCCCAACTTCGTTTGGGGAACATAATAAGAAGAATAATAATAACTAGAAAAGAAACTCGTTGCGAGCAACGAGAGGTCTTCCGTCCGATTCTGAAAAAATAAAACCCGCAAAATCGAGCTGAAAAAGTGATAAAAGTTTTAATGGAAACAAAGGGGATTGAACCGGGGTCGCCAGCATGAAAATACAAAGCGCTTACTGTTACGCTATTGGGACCACATCTCTAAATCTACTTTTACATACTTCTGAAACAGTACATCTGTCTTAGAATAATGAAAGGCGGTCACTTTTCATAATTTTGCGTCAAAGGCCACGAGTAAATCTTCGCGCCAAACTTGATCAAGATTATCACATCGGAATTTGTTACTTGAAATTTAACAGTAATTTTTAGGATAGATAATCTATTAGTGATGAACAGATGATACTGTTATCTTTCCTATATTCGATTTGTATTCAACTTTTTATTCCATGCAACTCCATATACAGGCATGCCAATGTTATATTTCTGCACTATTGTCGCCATTTGTCTACTACTTAAGTCGGGTTAGGATACATTATTTCGTGCCAAAGGTCACAAGTAGTTCTTAACGCTATTCCTTTGAAATGTTTGATCTATTTAATGGATCTGATAGCTTCAATGAAAATTAGAATTGTATGTTCTTATTACCGGAATTTCGAGCGTTAGAAAGTAAATTTATCACATTATACAAATATAGTATCGTATACGGCCAAGTAACACTAAAGCTGTGAATTCGGTAAAATTTTCCACGAATTTTGTATCCTGTTTACCCCCAAAGTGGAGATGAGTTACACGTTCATGAAAAGACTGGATTGTTTCACTGAAAAAAAAAATCACTCGCCCTCCGACGGTCAAGGAATCTGATACTCTTTATGTTCAATAACTTGCATTTATTACAAGAATATTTATATAACCTTTAATTAACAATCTTTTATAAAAAATGTTTTTCTTACTTTTGTCTTTTCTATTCATTTTATATGTCATAAGCCTGCGAGGTAAAATAAACAGAAGTCAAGTAATACTTCAGAAACATAGTGACTATTAAGTCAGGCAAGTTTCTTGAAAAGCTATTACTTATAACCATGGTTTAGGATAAGTTTTCCCTGGTGCAAAACAAAAGACTGTAGTCATCATATTTCCACTTGTAGTCATGTTGTATTCTACTATGAGATGCAGACAAAAGCAATTTCAATAGAAGATTGAGGAAACCTCATATTAAAACTATACTCAATGCAACGTAATTGTGATGTAGCAATCTAAAGAATCCTTTACATTTCATAAATCTTTTTGGTAGAAGTTTCGTTCATCTAAACGCTCAGCTGACCTTCTAGAACTAGACTTGCTTAATGGCGGAGTTTACGGAGACTCCCCGCCATCTTGGACACGCTTCAGATTTTTAAATGCGAATATCTAGTGTGTGGATTGATCAATTCTTAAATAAATTATATATTTGGCCTTTCCAGTAGGGTCTTAATTACAATTAATTATATCAAAGAAAAATATTGAAAAACAAAAAAAGTTGAAAAAGTGCACATTTTGAATTCACTTCCTGTAGCGACCGGAAGTACTGACGACGCAAACGAAGGCAAAATTGCACATCTATAACTCATGGTCTATCATCTCTAACAAGTCTCCAGTTAATATCTTGAGCCGTTTTCGAGAACATTCGAAGACAAAATTGCATTTTAAAATCAGGAAAATGCCCATAACTTGGCACTGGTAGCGAATTTTCCAAAAAACGGAATTTTATATAAAATTAATATAATGACCTATAATTCCTGAAATTTTCATTGAAATCCACCGAATAGTTTACGAGAAATCGCCTGCACAAAATTTTGTCTAAAAAAAAAAGAATAATAATAATAAGAAACAATAGAATCACTATAAGGTCTTCCGTGAAGACGGAAGACCTTAATAAGAAACAGAGTAAAAACAATATGTTCCCCAACTTTGTTTGGGGAACATAATTATTATTATAATATGATGATTAAAGTTTTATGTAGGTCAGGTCATTCAAATCTTTACGGTCTTTAGTCTATCCCAATCAAAGTGAAAACTAAAAGCAGAATAAGCACGAGCAATGGCAGTCCGACATCCCGAAGAGCTGTGCATTGACACGTGAACAATTCTTTCTGTTTCCTTGTGAGTTTGCAAAGTAATGCAGTGGTAAAACATTAAATCGTCTTCAATTTTAGGTAAAATAAGAGGGAATGCTGTTGCACATCTGTATAATAATATTGTAGCTCAACACGAAACTGAATATCAATATGGCCGTCTTTGTTGACATTTTAAAGTTGTTTACAAAAACACTGAAACAGTTTGAATAATTCTTCAAATTACACTTATTTTTTTCTCTTGTGTTTAAAGACCAATCCAACACTTTTGTTTATTCATGTATATTGTTATATTGGAGATTAAATGTACATGACGAAACTTAGTTAGAATAATCTATAACTGTGTCTCGGGACAAGCCCTCACCACAGTTAAACCGGGTCCGTATGACATTTATCATTTTAACGATAGAACATTCTATCTAGACGAAACTGAAAAGATGAAAAAAATCGTCAAATCATTTCTTTTTAGCTAACCTGAGCTAAAGTGGGATTGGCAAAAAATCTTTCTGTTTTATTTTTTTTTCAATTAACTAATAACTAGTAGAATTATTGATGAAAAAATAGAAAAATGTTACATATTATTAAAAGCAGGAAATTGAGCAATAAAATGCTATGCTAGGACATTGGCAGGGGAATTAACTTTACAACTGTTACAGGCTAAAAATAATGATGCCCCTAATGGACAGTTTGGGAGAAATAAAGATTTTGGTTTTTCCCTCTGTTTGCCCTTTTATCTTTATTCCACTTGTCTGTAAAAACTTGAACCTTGGTCAAACTACCTTCTGTATGGTTTGCGCTAGGACTTCACTTTCATATTTCACATGTCAATTCATTCTGTATGAAGGCAGTGTCTATATGAAAGACCATCGTGTACTTATTTTTCTTTGGCTAGCCTATTCGCACGACCGTTGTGTGTATAATTTTTTTTCAGTGACTATTTGCACGACCGTCATGTTTATAATTTTTCAGTGGCTATTTGCAGGACCGTTGTGTATTTATTAATCAGCCGTTCCCACGACCATTATAATGATTATATTTTACGTTATGGCATACATTGTTTTGTCCCCAGTTAAGTTAGCGAGAACGAACGAAATATGAGATATAAAGAAAGTAATGAAACCGTCGAAATTCTAACTTGGTCGATTTTAGGACCTTCCACCATGAAAACAACGCCAGGATGGTAGTATGTACATATGTAATATACTGTATATAATATACAGTTGTGTATAATAGCTATATTTCCATCATGTGCATAGCTCTGGCAATGTGCGATTGCTATTTGCACGATGGTCGTGTAAATAGATTTCTTTCTTACATATGTGCACGATGGTCGTGATGGTCGAGATATATCTCAGCAATTTGCATTAGCTATAAGCCTATTCGCACGACGGTTGTGTAAATAGACTTTCTATGCTCTGTGCACGACAGTCGTGTATATATCATTGGCCCTATATGAACCTTTCTTTGGGTACCAATACTTTTTACCTTGACCTATGAGTTTGACGTACTTTTGAAAACTTAAGCCTTGCAATTGACCATAACTTTTATGTATTTATTGTAGCAAGACCTTCCTTAGGTACCATAAACATTTTTTAGCTCACCTGAGCTGAAAGCTCAAGTGAGCTTTTCTGATCACATTTTGCCTGTAGTCCGTCTGTCTGTAAACTTTTCACATTTTTGACTTCTTCTCAAGAACCACTGGGCCAATTTTAACCAAACTTGCCACAAAGCATCCTTAGGTGAAAGGGATTCAAGTTTGATCAAATGAAGGGCCAATCCTTCTTCCAAGGGTAGATGAAAATATGAATTAATGAAAAATTAATAGACTAAGTGTCTTTTAAAAATCTTCTCCTCAAGAACCATTGGGCCAGGAAAGATGAAACTCATGTGGAAGCATCCAAACAGAAAATAGGTTTTAGGTTAAAGCTTTTCCCATAAATAATCATACGGACCCATTCATAAGCTATAAACAGTCATAGAAAATCTATTGAATGATCTACAGCTTTCAGCAGTGATAGGCATTCGACAGAACAAGTGCACATACCATGATAAACATTGACACTATACATGACAAGTGTAAAAAAGCTGATTACGATTGTATTTCTCAGCACCTTATAAAATAAGTACATGTAGTATGAAACTAAGAATTGATCCCATAGTTCATATACTTGGGTATAAAGGGAAATGAATAGGATTTATCACAAAAATTTGTAATATGTATCCTATGAATGGCATCATTAGATCACCTGAGTCTATGCACATCCCCTGTCAGCTCAGGCTTTTTTTCATACACGGGGCACCCCTACTTATTTTTTAGTTCTACTGGTCAGAGACCAGAAGAGCTTAGTAAGGTGTCCATTGTCCGTCTGTCTGTTCGTCCATCTGTAAACCAGAGCTCCAGATAATTTTTTACCCCAAAGTGTATTTACTCCCTGAATTTCAAATCAGTGCAGATTTTGATTTTCAGTTAAATGGTTTCAGAGTATTTTGCTAATATATAAGTGTTTTAGAAGAGGAAAAAACTACAGAGGACAGTGTCTGCATTTATTTTAATAAATTTTGAAAATACAATCAAGACTTTTGGCTAAAACTGTGAAACATTCTTTTTTGACAAGAAACATCAGTTGGTAAAGTTATCACAGGCACTTTATCTTTTCCTCCATTTAAGAGAGTAAATGAGAGAAAAAAATCTTCATTTATATGGCAAGTTGAGAAAAATCAGAAATTGGCAATGGACCCATAATAAATAAAAAAATAAACGTTATGTACAAACCGTATGTAAGCATCTTAATAAACAGAGAACAGAGAATTTAAGAGAGCTCTTGATCGGTAATTTAAAAATTATGCAAAATTATAATCTAAATCTTTGATTCTTCTCCTGAAATGGAAATTGTTGTCTTCATTACTAGTAGGATGAATATTCCTGGTTATTAAAACGCTTTTAAATCTGTATTTCGTTTTGAGAAAATCCAAACACTGAGTTCACCTCAATTAATATTATTAGCAAAGTCGTACTTGTATTATTCAACCCATTGAACACAGTACTTTAGTGGTGTAATGCTTATCTACAATTGCCAATGCGTAAATGTACGCTCAACTTTAATTTTTAATGCATATTTTTGAAAATTTCAATGCATATTTCTGCAAATACCCACCTTATCTGGAGCTCTGGTAAACAATTTTTCAAAATGCTACTCCTCCTACAGGTTTGGTCTGATTCAATATAACTTGGCATACAAGTAGACTACACAAAGATACATTATATAGTGCATCGGTTTTTGATTTCAATGAACAGTGTTGCCTTGGTTACTAAAATTAGAAATTTCTTTGAAGTTCCTTACAAACAATATTCCTGCTACAGTTTTGGTCTTAATTCAATATAGCTTGGCACACAAGATGACTACACTAAGATACATAATTTAGTGCATTGGTTTGGTTTTTGATTTCAATGAATGGTGTTGCCATGGTTACTAAAATTAGAAATTTCTTTGAAATGCTTTTTAAAATGCTACTTCTCCCTAAGTTTTGGTCATATTTTAATTTAATTTGGCACACAAGTTGCCCCCAAAAGAGACTTAATCAAGGATCATTATTATATTTATTGCTATTGTAAAGTTTCAAGTCCAAATTGCTAATCGTCTTTTCCTTTGTTATAAGAACAAACTAGTAGAGCTACAGTCTCGACAGAGACTTCTGGTTTTACCACAAGTTACTTAACTCAATTTCAGGCACCCTCAGCTTCAATCTCACATTTTGTGAATGTATCAATCATTAACCTACCGGTACTTTAAAATGACATTGTTTGCTTCTCGAGACTTCTTTCTTGTTAATCAAATCGTTTCAGAAGTCTCTGGTTGAGCCTTTTTATTGTAAACCACTCATTTATTCCTCAAAAATTGCCTCAATACAAAGTAAGACATCTTATAAGATACACTGTAACACATGTACATGTATATGTATTTCTGGTTGGAGTTATAGAAGTAAGATTAAACCAGAGACTTCCAATTACTAGTATAATATAATTTTACTGCATGAATTTGAATACAGCAAAACTTGTTTAGTACGAACACGGATATTGCAAATATTTGGATATAGCGAAGTCATCTTGGATCCCCAGCTTTATAAATTTGATGAAGTCTTTCTTATAATGTTATAACAAATTACGGATATAGCGAAGTAATTTCATAGGTCCCATTGACTTTGTTATAACCAAGTTTTGCTGTGTAACACATGTACACTTTTATCTCCAGATGAGGCAGATTTTGTGTGTGAACCAGATCCAAATATCATAGCTTCAGCAAAATTTCAACAACTTCGTCTAGAATTCCTTGTGGCCGTAGAAAAAATTAGAAGGGAAACAGAGGCAGCAAAGGTCAAATACAGGCAGTTCAGTCAACAGTCTCGAGTACAAGCAGGAGGGCAACACTGCCAACAGAGTAGTTCCCAGCCTCCAAACACAGGAGAGCTCCAAAACAGTCACCAGACTCCACACACAGAAGAGCTACAGAGTTCTCATCCAGCTGCCCCGATATGCTCTGGAACCTCAGGAACAAAACAGATCTCACAACATTGTGGTACTCCTGAGTTAGAATCTTACACTGAAAACTTATTAACAGTGCCTCCCCCAAGTTTAACAGCAGTTTCAAATTATAAAGACAAAACTTGTGCTTCATTGGCTGAAGGTATAGTAAATTGATTCTTCTCTCTGAAAAATTAAGGTTTTTAATGATCCAGATATAAAATGGGGAATATCTACTAGGTGTGGTTTAAACCTAAGGCCATTCCAAGTTTTTCTTTGTTTAGTGTCTGTAGACAAATTGGTTTTGAGGTTTTGAAATTAAGGACAGACAATACGTTTCTAAATGATATACATTTTCCGAAGATTTTGTCATTGAAGTAAAGCTACTTTTACAAGTTAACTCACAAAAAAATGAGGTACCTTACCAGGCATTTGTAAAAGATACCAGAGGATGGTGTTGCATTTTCTTTTGGAAATAACAGATTTTTAGCTCACCTTAGCCGAGGACTCAAGTGAGCTTTTCTGATCAGATTTTGTCCATCTTTCTGTAAACTTTTCACATTTTCGACTTCTCAAGAACCACTGGGCCAATTTTAACCAAACCTGCTACAAAGCATCCTTGGGTAAAGGGGAGTTTAAATTATAAAAATAATGGGCCAAGTCCCTTCACAAGGGGAGATAATCAAGAAAAGAAAAAAATAGGGTGGGGTCATTAAAAAATCTTCTTCTCAAGAACTACTGGACCAGAAAAGCTGAAACTTATGTGGAAGCATCCTGGGGTAGTGTAGATTCTATATTTAAAATTCTAGATTTTAAATTGTCCAAATTATGACCCATGTGGTAGGGTGGGGTCACAATATGTATTACAAAGGGGAAAATTGGTAAAGAACAGCATGGTCAAAGCTACTCAGGTGAGTGATGTGGCCCATGGGCCTCTTGTTTTTATACATTACGAAGATATATAAAACAGATATATGAGGAATATATCGTCTGACCTTAAAAAACACACACTAATTAAAATTGATAAAAACAAATCATTGAAATGCAATTTACGCTTTTGGGATCTCTCTATTTTATAGCAGTGTACCAAAAAAAGTTGTTTCAATGAACGAGTAGTTTAACTTTGATACAATGTGGGAAGTATTCCGGGATGATAAAGTATGTAAAAGTTTTATATTTTTCCCATTTGCTTTTTCTCAAGCCTACAAGTGAGTCAATATTAATGCAAGTTGTTCTTTAACACCTGTATTCCCTGTTCATAAATAATTTAGAATAAATATTTTTCTGGCAGTGATATGTGTGCTAGATTCATATCACTGTGTCATCGATTCATCAATATATACTGTATCCAATTAAAAACCAGTAAACAATGCTTACCTGACAAGAAGCACAACTGGAAGCAAATGATGACTAAAAATGTTTTTAAAAAATCTTATTTGTTGATCATGTAAATTAATGAAGTTTGCACAGTGATTTGTTCAGAGCATTTTAAAATGCCATCGTCATACATGTTCAAAAAATCTATATATACATGTATGTCAAATAACAACTTTGTATTTTAATAGGTCCAGTTCATTTCCAAAAGGCACATGAAACAGAAAATGCAGGAACAGCAACAACTTCAGTGGTAGGTTACAACAATTGTGATTTTTAGCTCTTCTGAGCCAAAGGCTCAAAGAGCTAATGCTATGGCCATTTGTGCGGTGTGCCTTAACGTTTTAGAATATAGGCCATAACTCAAGAACCCCTTGACCAATCAGTGTCAAATTTGTCACAGGGTATTCTTTGCCCAAGGGCTACCATTTGTACTAAAATAAGGGTTGGGACCCTAAAACAAGGGGAGATAATCAGGAAAACAAAACCAAAAGTACTGGTTGCAAAAAAATCTTCTTCTCCAGAACCACCAGGCAGATTTTCACCAAACTTACATACAATGATCAGAATATGTTGAAGATTAAAAATTGTTCAAGGCATGACCCTGGGGCAAAGGGCGTGGTCTCAAGGTCACTTCAAAGTTGACATAAATTTACAATTAATGAAAATGTCTATATTTTGCTTACTATAAGGACTAGGATCATCAAATCTTGTAAGTTGATGCATCTTAGGACTTCACATCATGTTAACTCAAAAGTAGGTCACGGTGACCTACTTTTTTAATTTTGCGGGCATTTGTTTTCAAATGGATTTGAAGGCATATTTTGGACACTTTAAGGCCTATGATCATCAAACTTTGTCAGTTGATGCATCTTGGGTCCTTAAACAACGTCAACTTAAAAGTAGGTCACCGTGTCCTACTTTTTGAACTTTATGACTTATCCTTTTAAAAACATTTCATCCCATTATTTCAGACAATGAGAGGGTTAGAATCATCAAATCTTGTAAGTTGCTGCATCTTGGGACCTTAAAACACATTTAAGAAAAAGTAGGTCACTGTGACCTACTTTTAGAATTTTGCAGGCATTTTTTTTTCAAATTGTTTAAAAGGCATATTTTGATTACCTTCAGACCAACGATCATCAAACTTGGTCAGCTGATGCATCTTGGGACTCTGAAAAATGTCGACCAAAATGTAGGTCACTGTGACCTACTTTCGACATTTTATGGCTAGATTTCAGTATCTTAGGTATTTATTGGCTTAGAATCATCAAACTTAGTGAGTTGATGCATCTTGGGTTTTCGGAGAGTGACAACCAAAAATTAGGTCATGGTGACCTACTTTCAATATTTTATGGCTATATTTATGTATCTCCAATACTTATCGGACTAGAATCATCAAACTTTGTCAGTTGATGCATCTTGGGTTTTCGGAGAATGTCGACCAAAAAGTAGGTCACGGTGACCTACTTTTGACATTTAATGGCTATATTTATGTATCTCTGGTACTTATCGCTTTAGAATCATCAAACTTTGTTAGTTTATGCCTCTTGGGTTTTCAGAGAATGTAGACCAAAAAGTAGGTCACAGTGACCTACTTTTGAATATCTCAGGTATTTATTGGCTTAGAATTATCAAACTTGGTCAGCAGATGCATCTTAGGCCTCTGATAAATGTCAACCAAAATATAGGTCACAATGACCTACTTCTGACATTTTATGGCTATATTTAAGTATCTCCAGTACTTATCGGATTAGAATCATCAAACTTTGTCAGTTGATGCATCTTGGGTTTTCGGAGAATGTCGACCAAAAAGTAGGTCACGATGACCTACTTTTGACATTTTATGGCTATATTTAAGTATCTCAGGTACTTATTGGCTTAGAATCATCAAACTTTGTTAGTTTATGCATCTTGGGTTTTCAGAGAATGTCGACCAAAAAGTAGGTCACGGTGACCTACTTTCGACATTTTATGGCTATATTTAAGTTTCTCTGGTACTTATTGGCTTAGAATCATCAAACTTTGTCAGTTGATGCATCTTGGGTTTTCCAAGAATGTAGACCAAAAAGTAGGTCAAGGTGACATACTTTTGAATATCTCAAATACATATTGGCTTAGAACCTTCAATCTTAGTTTGTCTATTAATGCATCTTGAGTCCTCAGAAAACTTCGATCTTAAAGTAGGTCACCGTGACCTACTCATGTTTTTTTTTTATAGCTTTATTAAAATATCTTCAGTCCTATTTGGCTAAGAATCATCAAACTTTTTATCAGTTGATGCAACTTAGGTTTTAGGATACTAAGGGTTAGAGGCTTCAAATACAATTGATAGGTTGTACAATTTATCAGAAGAGCGATTCAAGGCCCTTGGGCCTCTTGTTCAAGATTTATTGTTTTTTAGGGATGGTATTCATACACTAAAACAGTTAATTTGTGAACTTTTAAGAACTTCTTTATTTTTGGAATTTGACCAATCTGTAAAATTTCACAGAAATTACCCATCATACAGAATTGCATAATACTGTAAACCAACTTTTATTCGCGTGCGAGAAATTTTTGCGAGGTTCGCGAGAGCCTCGTCATCGCGAATATTTCTCGCCGCGAACTGGTCCTTATAGTATATTTGTCTATTAAAAACAGATACAAAAAGACTTGATCGCGAAAATTAATCGTCGCGAACTAGTTTATGCCTGGTAAATCGCGAAATAAAGTCGTCGCGAATAAAAGTTGGTTTACAGTAAGTGTAAACAGTAACTGCTGTATTGCCATTTCTTTTTCTTACAGGCTGGCCCCAGGATAGATCTTCCTGAATTGTCAGTAAACTGGAGAACCGGCGGGGCAAATTTTGGGGGACAACTTCCAACAATGGAAAATCAGGGACTCCCTCTTTCTCTGGATTCCAAGTTAAGTTTTGGTGTTTCTGATGATGTTTTTAGCACAATTAATGACTTGGAAAGTAGACCAAATTTAACGTTCAGTAGAAAAGGGCGAGGAAGCAGGACGGACCCTAATAGTACACTATGTAAAGTCGCCAAACTGTCCTCGACTGCTTCTGTGCATTCAGACATGGGCGAGTTTTCAGGTCAGAGTTTGACTCATTCCACTGGGGAGGGAACCAGTGCTAGTGAATCTGATGATACGAGTTTGTCCACCTCCTCAAACCGCTCGCAGGGGGGAAAATGTAAACGGTACAAGCGAACTCAGGAAGCGTTACAAAGCTCGGGACTTCTGGACGTGACAATGAAGACAGCCGAGCTAATGAAAAGAAATAGGCAGCTACAAAAAGACATTCGGGATTTCAAACAAGAAACGGTGGAGTTTCTCAAGACTGTTTTACAGAATCCCGAAAATAGTGAATATGCTAAAGTTATTCATGGCAAAAAAAATGGACATTAGATAGTCATACATATATGGGTATTGGGTTAAAAAGGGGAATAAATCAAAATGAATGGAAATTTCAAGAATTTTACATTAGTAATAATTACAGTGGACCTTCAGATATCCGGACCCCAGATATCCGGATGCTTCAGTATCCGGACGACTTTTCATCGGAACGAAATTTGTAAATGTAATTTAATCCTGTTTTACTGGTGATTCAGGTATCCGGACGCTTCACATATCTGGACAAATTGACGGGGAACCAAAGCGTCCGGATAAATGAGGCTCCACTGTAATCGTATTACATATTCAAATATTTATTTGGCGATATATTTTAGATTTAGTTTGTAATCAGTATACATGTACAAAAGCATATAAATTTAGAGTGAAATAAGGCTATAATTCTGTAGATTTGAAACTTAGCTCAAAAACTGCTGAACGAATGGTTATGAATAATAGACTGTACATTAAATAAGCTTATATTAAAATCTGAATTTTTAATATTGAAGATTTTGTTCATCCTTAGACAATATTTTCATTTCAGTGGCAATAAATATATAATTCCTGCACTTCTGGTGGAATCTTTTGAAAAGTTCTCCATTATGACCATAGTTTCTATGTCATGTGTAGATGCAAGTGTGAATTTTATGATTAGGCCTACCTGGCTTTGTTTTTTCTTAAGGAGGCTGGGGGGTCAACAAATTAACCACAAGATTTAACTTATTTTTTTAGATATGATATCTTAAGCTGTCAACTATAATTTGGCAAAGAAAAATTTCATACATTTTAGTTTTAAAATTTGAACGTTTTTGTATATCTTTATATGAAGCTGTTCTTCTAAAGGATGTCAAAATAGTCTGAAAATAGCCACAACCCCCCAGCCCCTTTAAAGAAAAGATACAGCTTGAATTGAGAGTTGTAAAAATTAATTTGATCTGGGGTGCTACAGAATAAGATGTACAGAAACATGCAAATATTGTAAGATTGTTTATTTAAACAATAAAAGTGCTTTCATTTCCAGGTTCTACCTTAAATAAATTTTGCAACAACTGAATGTCTAAAACACCTTTTGTGTAAGAGCCAATGCAGTTCCTAGTATTAAGGCATGATTCTTAATAAGGACCTTTTCTTAACCAGTGCATAATGTTTCTTGGACATAGAGAAAAACAAGAGGCCCATGGGTCACATTGCTCACCTGAGCACATTGGTTAGGAAATAAAAGCAGAAATCACTTCAGTATTGAGAGGTTTACATGGGGGGAGGGGGGTTTAAACTACCAACTACCTGATGATGCGTCCATACAATAAATGCCTTTGCTGTTTTTGAGCAGATGATATTTTTCCTATTTATTCATTTAACCCCCTCCCCCCCATTGTGGCCCAGCCCTACCCCTGGGACACCTGAACCAGTATGACTTTGTACTACCTGAAGATGCCTCTATATCAATATGATTAAACATGGCTTTTCAGTTCTTGGGAAAAAATACCGGTATTTCATTGATATTGCTAGGCAAAACTTTGATCCTCAATTGTGGCCAACCCTACCCAACACCTACTTCCCATTCATGACTTGAACAAACTTGAATTAACACTACGTGAGGATGCTCACATAAAGATATGACATATCATGGTTGTGTGGTTTATAAAAAGAAGAGTTTTAAAAATTTTCCAATGTATTCATTCCTATGTAAAACTTTAATTGTCCGTGGTGCCCCGCCCTACCCATGGGGGTCATGATTAGAACAAACTTGAATCTACTGGTACACAACCTGAGGATGTTTTCACATAAGTTGCATCTTTCCTGGCCCAGTGGTTCTGGAGAAGATTTCCAAAGATTTTTCCTATACAATTCTATGTACTAGTAAATCTTTGATCGTCAGTTATAGCCTGGCCCTACCCCCAGGGGTCATGATTTGAACAAATTTGAATCAACACTACCTGAGGTTGTTTTTTGACATAAGTTTCATCTTTCCTGGTCCAGTGGTTCTGGAGAAGATTTCCAAAGATTTTTCCTATACAATTCTATGTACTAGTAAATCTTTGATCGTCAGTTATAGCCTGGCCCTACCCCCAGGGGTCATGATTTGAACAAAATTGAATCTTAACTACCTGAGGATGTTTTCACATAAGTTGTGGTCCAGTGGTTCTGGAGAAGATTTTCAAAGATTTTTCCTTTATAATTCTACATTTGATCGTCAGTTGTGGCCCGGCCCTACCCCAAGGAGTCATGATTTGAACAGAATTGAATTTACACTACCTGAGGATGCTTCCATATAAGTTTCATTTTTACTGGCCCAGTGTCTCTGGAGAAGAAGATTTTCAAAGATTTTTCCTATATAATTCTATGTAAATCTTCGATCGTCAGTTGTGGCCCGGCCCTACCCCCAGGGGTCATGATTTGAACAGAATTGAATCTTAACTGGTTCTTGAGAAGAAGATTTTCAAAGATATTTCCTTTATAATTCAATGTAAATCTTTGATCGTTATTTGTGGCCCGGCCCTACCCCAAGGGGTCATGATTTGAACAAATTGAATTTACACTACGTGAGGATGTTTCCATATAAGTTTCATTTTTACTGGCCCAGTGGTTCTGGAGAAGATTTAAGATTTTTTTTAAATTCCTATATATTCCTATGTTAAACTTTGATCAGCCATTGTGACCCCGCCCTACCCCGGGGGTCATGGTTTATACAAAATTGAATCTACACTACCTGATGATGCTTCTACGTGAGTTTCATCTTTCCTGGCCCAGTGGTTCTGGAGAAGAAGATTTTTCCTATATATTCCTACTAAAACCTGTGATCGGCCATTGTGGCCCCGCCCTACCCCCGGGGGTCATGATTTGTACAAAGTTAAATCTATACTACCTGACGATGCTTTCAAGCGAGTTTCATCTTTCCTGGCCCAACGGTTCTTGAGAAGAAGATTTTAAAAAGATGCCATTAATTTTTAATAATGCATGATTATCTGCCCTTGGAAGAGGGCTTGGCCCTTCATTTGAACAAACATGAATCCCCTTCACCCAAGGATACTTTGTGGCAAGTTTGGTTGAAAATGGCCTAGTGGTTCTTGCGAAGAAGATGAAAATGTGAAAAGTTTACGACTACAACGACTACAACAACAACGACAGACAAGAAAAATTTTGATCAGAAAAGCTCACTTGAGCCTTTGGCTTAGGTGAGCTAATAAATTGTATAAAGCTGTTAATATTGAGTTTATTTATTTGATTTTCACTATATGCTACCTACCTTTGCTCCTGGGTATTATGCCAATGATCTAAGGACATATATATGTTGAAGAAATCTGCCTCTTCCAAAATGGTTAATTTCCGAGCCCCTGGGTCAGAGGTATTTGGAAGGGGAGGGGTGGGGGTTACATAGTCTGAAAATAAATTCATGCTTTGAAATCTGCACTATGGTATTAATCAACTATTTATGATGAAATAAAATTCATGCTAAAATTTCCAAAAATTTTGAAATATGTGGCCACAGGGTTATTGGTTCCTGTGGGATGGGGTGCACAACTGGTTACAAATTGGAAATGCATTTTCTCTTTGTTACTCTGGTCTACCTTTGGGTATTAAGCAACTAAAGTAAGCATGCTAAGTATATAACTATGATATGCAATGGTGCCTCTCTCAAAATTGAGAATTTCATGGTCTCTGGTTCAAAACATGAATCAAATTCAATTGTTGGAAAGTTGTTACGGGATACTCAGGTGACCTATAAGGTCCGTGGGCCTCTTGTATAAAATTTAGATCTAAGGGCAGATCTCTCTAACTGCAAAAATACCATAGAATCAGAACTCTTAAGTGTGCAGTGTAGAGAGGGTTCTTAAGATAACCCTTCTGTCCTAATTCTCTAGGTCAACTTTTCTTCGAGTATTGAAATATTTTCTTCTAATATTTAAAATTGAAATATTGAAACTAGATTTCTTTTATTGATCAAATAATTTTAACATTATATACTGTAACGTGACATTTTTTAAAAACATATACATACATGTATCTGCAACATTTAACATGTTTAATATAAACCTAGCTAGTAGTCCACATTCATGAGTCATACATCCGCTGTTGTTGCATTTTTAGTCTTCAAAATGAAACGTGTATGACCTTTAGAAAGAAAATACATGTATATATTGAATTAATTTCGCCAATTAGCAGGAATTTTGTGATTTTGATAAAGTAATGTGTGTGCGTTAGGTCATCATTAAAAATATTTTTGTTTCCCTCTCAGCTTGCCCTAAATTTTTCAGACAGGTTGGTAGGAATGTAAATAATTTCGGAATTCTCCCCTACGTAAACTGCTTTGAAAAAACACCATTCTATAGAATTAAAACCAAAAATTAAATGATGCCGTAAATAAAACTAAAATAAGTTCCTCAAGTAAGACGGGTGTGTTAATAAGAAAATTGTCATGGCCTAAGGAACATCTTGCTTCTCAGTCATTTTGCGTGACATTATGAACAAGCTTATTGCATAGACTTGTGACATAGACTCGTGACAAACCTTATGGTTACAATTAATTGGAAGTCACGTGCGATCTATACTCCTGTTCTTCTAATAAAATTGTCCTTAAAATTTTTAGCTCTGGTGAGCCAAAGACTCTGTGAAAGAGCTAATTGTATGGTCATTTGTGCAGTGGACTTAGAATCATCAAACTTTGTCAGTTAATTCATCTTGAGTCCTCAGAAAATTTCAATCAAAAAGTAGGTGTTGGTTTTTCTGAGAACGTCAATCAAAAAGTAGATTACTGTGACCTACTTTTGACATTTTATGGCTATATTTAAGTATCTCGAGTACTTATTGGCTTTGAATCATCAAACTTTGTTAGTTAATGCATTCTTGGGTTTTCGGAGAATGTTGACCGAAAAGTAGGTCACGGTGACCTACTTTTTAATATTTCAGCTACTTATTGGCTTAGAATCATCAAACTTTGTTAGTTAATGCATCTTGAGTCCTCAGAAAATTTCAATCAAAAAGTAGGTCACCTTGACCTACTTATCGTATTTTATAGCTATATTAAGATTTTCAGCCCTAACTGGCTAAGAATCTTGGGATGCTTAGAGTTAGAGGCTTCAAATAGAAAGTGACATATTGTACAATTTATCAGAAGAGCGATTCAAGGCCTTTGGGCCTCTTGTTATATATCTGATATTATACTCTGACCTTGACCTTGGTTTAATGACCTGAGATGAGAATCATGACAGTGATGACACATTCAGCCCGTAGGGCAATATGATGTTTTGAAGTTATTTCATTATAAGGTTATGTTATGGACGAGACTTTTCCATCTTAAATCCAGTGACATTCTCAAAGTGACCATATGGTAGGGTTGTTATGATCCTATAATCACAAGTATTTTCTGGACTTTCCTCCAGTGTCCACATTTTAATTAGGCGAAGGATTCAAGCTCTATGTCCTTTAGATGTCTTTTATCTCCATAAAAAGAAATCCATGGGGTTCCTCTATGCCCCCCCGCACCCCCTAGTGAATGCTACACAAAAGATGATCAGGAAATTAAAAATTTCCACAACATTCATAAGCACCAATACAGTTTAGACTTAATGGTGATTGATTGTATGTTGTTCTTGTACATGTATTGAAATCAGCTGCAACGAAGTTCATGAAAATGCATATTACATAAAACACATAATTATAATACTGCATTTACCATATCTTCCTAGAGTCAATCATTTCTATACAACAAAAATAAAACAATGAAAGCGACACAAAATAGCATTTTTGTTTTGATTTTCCATTTGTTGGCAAACTTGCAAAACTTTCTGATTGCACCATGTAATTTGAAGCGTCGATATTTTTTTCACACTTTTGTTTAGCAATCGCTTCCAATATTGTAAAATGATTAAAATCTGAGGAGCAAATGAAATTTAAACAAAAAAATAAAATAGAAATATTAACAATCAGGACGCATACAGCTGGAAAAACATTCAAATATTGTCCAGTTCAGATGAAAGGCAACGCTAAAAACAGATGTCGAACCGTAGAAAAAATCTTTAAACCTCGTCAATACCTATTCGATATTTATAGGGGGAATTTAAATATACCATTGTTTGGTATACATTGAATTTGTGGCAGTTTTTCAACAGTGTCTGTACTGTAGACTTTTAAAATGAATTATGGAAGTAATATCGTGGCTAGGCGGTTAGGTCAAAACTGATTAAAGCTGAAAAAGTCAGATTTATTTCATTCGTGTTTAGATAATCCTTAACCCGCTAGTGGTTCTATGGAACTTTTAAGATTCATGAAAGTGGCGAAGTGGTTGCGAAGGAGAGGTCGAGTTTAGGGATGACAGCTTTTCACTATAATGTTATTTACGAGGTAAGTAATATAACCTTTTTTGGAACCATATTACGACATGCATGAACATTTTTTTCTTTAAGACTTTGCAACATTTTAATAATTCTATAACAGTATATATGCAGTTGGGGTGATCGACTATTCTAGATTTGACCTGATTTCAACACAGTATTGAAACCTAAGCTGCTGTATGCTGAATACACATGGTCTTTCAAATTAATCTAGTATTGATAGACGGGTAAATACTTAAGAGAGTCTTTAGATAATATTTGCATGCAAAATATTATCAGTAAAGTCATCAGCTCGTTTACTAGTGAATAGCGGATCTAGGACCAGTGGCCTTTCCTTTGGATTTTTTTGTTGTTTAAATTTTGTTTGTAATATCCTAAAATCAACGGAAAAACAACTCTTATTTGTTAGAATTTTTTCACACCCCCCCCGGACCCACACCAGGGCTTTGCCCTAGACCCATGAGGATCTTCCATGCAGTCCTCGGACCCTTGACCTTAGATATGTACTGCGCCCTCCCGTTATGAAATTTCTGGATCCGCCGTTGCTAGTATTCAAAATAAGTTTAATGTGGTACATCGCTTAATACTTAATTAATTGCATTACAATCATCAGAGTCATTGAGAGTTACTTCCCTGTCGTCTATCAACTCTCTCTCTCTCTCTCTCTCTCTCTCTCTCTCTCTCTCTCATACATGTTATGTACTATACTTTTTTGAAACAGAATAGACAGAGTAACGTCGAAATCCGACAAGTATTTTGCCAATAAACTTTTCAAGCGGGTATAATTATAGTAATCGGGATGTCCGTCCGTCTGTCTAGCTTTATGTCCGCCTGGTACGCTTTGGAGTACCCCATCTCTTATCTGCAACTCCTCTTATACCACTGAATGAAATTTGATGAGACTTTCAGAGAAACTTTTTTACTTCTTGATCCAACGCATATATTGGGTTTCCCATATAGAAAAACATGGACACTGCCATTATATTTATATGGGAGGCGGGGTGGGGTATCATTTAGTGAGCTCATCGCTCACAGTACCTCTAGTTTGCTGTCAGAAAAATGTATTTTTCATTTCAGTTCATTTTTTAGTTCAAAGAATCACAGGTATCAGATATTTAACCCCAGGGATAACAAAATAATAGTACCATAAAAACGATAAAACATTTTAACATTATCATTTATGTTTTATCATTGCTTCTTTATTATTCAACACAGCCTAGTGAGAAAAACTACTTTTAAAACCATTAATGGTATTTCTTTGGAAATTTTATGACCTTTTTTGACCCAGTTTTATAAAAAATTTCATGTTCAGCTGAAAGGTCTCGTATAATGGCTTCTTAAAAGTAACATTTTAGTCAATCAAGGAGCTAAGAAATTATATGTGGTTATATTCAATAATTTCATATATAGTTTTATGATTGAATATATTAACATTGAATAGTTCTTATATACACATGTAGTGTTTTTTTAAACATCTGAGAACACTTGACGAATTCATTGAATAAAAGGAATTGTCATTTACTTACCTAAACCAGAAATTTAAGCTGGTTACTGCATATTGAATGATTAAAATCTTGCAAAATATTTTTTTTCTTTTTAAAATGCCAAATATTTTTCAATAATAAAATTGATATAAAAGAGAGATATTCGCTAAATACATGTATGTGTTGTTTGCTAGTCATTTTGTAAAACTGAACCATGTGATTCTAAGGAGCTGACACTTGTAGATCAGTATAGGTGCTTCGCGAATATGTCTGTTTTCTCACCTAACTTTAACTTTTATTAAAATGATATATGATGTTTGTCGTTTTCACTCCTGTGCAGTTTTAAAATATTTTCCCATGACACCATGATGAATTTATATAAAAACAAATATTCGTAAAATTATAATTCTTTTTTTTTTTTTACAGTAAAGTCGTTGACTGTGCAATTTTGTCCACTTTTATAAATGGGCTGTGGAAACACAAAACAAAAAGTCATTCAACTTCATCCAGAAGAGAAAAAGAAAGAAAAGACAGTCGTGTTCAAGGAACCGCCAGTTGACGTCATTAACTACATACAGCCATACCCACAAAATAGAAAACGGCGGAAGTAGATAAACTAAAAACATGGGGTGTGGACAAACAAAACCAATAAAGACTGAAACTCATAGAAAATCTGTCACCTTCAAAGATCCGCCCGTCGATTTTATTGAACCAGATCCAAAGACCACTTTCCTCTCGACCTCACTGCCAACTCAGACGTTGGAAAATAGTCTTTATCCTCCAAAACCGCCAAAGACCAGACGGCATGAGATAATTCCTAACGATGATATGTTTTATTTGGTAGATGAACATGCGTTAAAGGCAAGAATTAAATAAATTTTATCGAGAAAATATGATATTCAAAAGGCTGCCTAGATGGGCTGGCAGCAAAATACCAAAAACATCAGCCTAAAAATATTAACCACATAGTTCTAACTATTATAAAACTATAATGTTTTGTAAAAAATTAATATTAATTCCAGCTTGAATATTTTATGCAATTTCCTTTATTTTATACCCCTTTCCTGAAGTTTTGACTTTTATTTTAACGCAATTTGAGTTAGATTTACTAAAATTCAACCAAACACATATGTACATGGTACTCAGTACAGCACTTCGAACCCCTTCTAAATTGCTCTTTTCTTTCCTTTTTTTAGGCGCCAAAATCAGTAGACACGTCTGTTGAATCTCTATGCAGATATCTGATGAAACCAGCCAAAAACGACATGGAAAAATGCCGGCTATTTTACAGATGGATCACAAACAACATTTCGCAAGTGTTCTTATTTCTCAAAGAAACATTTCATTTGTAAAAATTCTGCATACCAACAGATTTATATTATCATAATACGCGGTTAAAATTAAGAGTCATTCTCTGTAAAAACCAAAGAATCCAAGGAGGCCGTAAAAACGAATGTCTCCGAAATACGTAATTTTTTGTATTTAGAGTGTACTCAGGTGTCTAACTGAGAAAACCACCTTAGTTCATGTTTCGGGGTGTCCGTTGCCATGGCAACCGTAACTAACACAAATATGGCCATTTTGACAGGTTCTATTTCATGAAATATAGCATTTTTAACCCCAATATTCCTTTAAACACGAAAAATATTACCACTTTCAATTATATAATTTATTTTATGCATTCTTAAATAATTAAAATAATTAAGAATTAAATCTTTTGCCTGAGGCGTTTCAAGCTGATAGAAGGCTAAAAATATCAAATTTCATGATTTTTTCAAAATGCAGAAAAATCCATTTTACCCTCTATTTCAATTACATTTATCTTTAAATTCCAAGATAGGTTTTTTAAACTTCTTGTTTATTCCAAATATCTATACTATAGTCTTTCATTTCATATAGATTCCAAACATGTGTTTTTCAGATAACTCGGGAAATATCAAAATGAAAATAACCCATAATCCCGAATTTCCTCAGATATGGATTGGAAAACTGCGTTAATTATACATTGTATATGGTATATTTTGTAGAGTTTGTTTTTCTCTTTTGAGGACATTGTTTATGTAAAACAACCTTAACAGAGAATTAAATGATAAAAATGAATGAAAATGTATCATTTTAGGGGCGGATAGATAGTTTTCGATTGACCAAGAGTTACTTCCCGTTGGTCGCCATACTGGAGGTCCAAACGCTCATATTCCTTCATTGTTCAACCAATTTAAAATTTTTATATTTGCTATTCTGAATTAGAAATCATTATTTTTCTGAAGTATATAAATTTTTGGAAGCCTCTTTTATTTAAAAAAAATTATTTAATAAAGATTTTCCACCAAATATTTCTGCTATAGTTTCTTAAACTTGGTAAGACAAAGAGGGAAAATCACTGAGTCGACCTCCAATATGGCGGCCAACGGGAGGTAACTTTCGCTAAATTCAGGCCTATCGAAAACTATCTATAGCAACATAGCAGTGGTTAACAGGGCTCATGGGATTTTTTTTCATTTCATGTTTTTATCGGTTCAAAATCACTTTTGTGGCTAAATTTTAACAATACTGACGTGTATATTAATCATGCTACTAATCAATTCTTTAAATGAAATTTAGATATATTTAAGATATAAAAGTAATACACAGATATTTCATTTTACCCCCCCCCCCTTTTTTTTAAATGAGGAAAAGGCTGGGGATTAATGACACCTGTTCTATGACTCAAATTTTATCTTCTTCAGCTATTAAACGTATTTGTTACAAATTTAGCTGAAAAAAAAAGAGTCGATGAAAAGTTAATTTATTAACTCTATCACAACGTAAGGCTAAGGTCAAGAGTTCAAAGTTAACTGAAGAATATATATACATGTAGTATAATTACCTCTCCACATTTTCAGGAATTGACTGGATGACCTTAAGTCAGGATTTCTATAAAGTACAACATGTTTAATCCAAAATGGTTTAAATGGACTAAATAATAAATTGATAACTGAAAATAAATCTGAAAATTAAAAGATTATTATTTATTATTATTTTTTCAAAGAAAATATAAAAGATTATGGTGTGCAGAGAAAGTTCGGGCTAATTATTTTTTTTAAATAACTTTTTCAATTATCAATTTATATTAAAGCTCAAACATTATTTCATATACTTGTAATTGATTGATACACAATGAAGCATTTCAAAAATATGTATGTATACTGTTGAACACAAACCATTCACAGCAACATATCTAAATAATTTGATTATTGAGCTCATAAAATTATAATACCAGCAGAATAAGGACAACAAAAGTAAAATGAGGCCATACATGTAAGTAATAAGAGTTCCTGTCATTCAGATTTTCAACTTGATTGCAGGCTCGTAAGAGGCAATTTCAGTTGGAAGAGGGGGGGGGGGGGCACAACCATACATTCTCAGTGAAAACTACCAAAAATTTCTAGAAAGCAAAATAAGGACAAAAGATCATTAGACGTATTTTCTGAGGGGGCACAAGCATAGAGTAGCTATGTTTATTATAGAATTCTATATATTGGCAAAATATTAGGGGGGGGGGGTCAAATGTTGGTCATATTGTGAAAAATAATTATATATTTTCTATGAAATACCCAAGAGCCATTAGCAGGAATAGTAGGGCAATGACATACTTAAGTGAATAATTACATAGATGTACAATAGGTGGTTTTTCACTTTTATCAGTTAATATTTTTGTCATCCAAGTAAACGTTATCCTTAAGCCTTGAAAATAATAATAGACACTTTTGACATAGATTTCTTTAATTTTTTTGTCAATTTTATAAAAATTCAATAATTGTAACAAAGGATCGAATTATCATTTTACATGCAATGAGACTACTGTTTATACACTTTTTATCTTTTATTTAAGAATTTACATTATTAAAATCTTTTTAAAAAATTATTTGAAGCATATTCATAGTAGTGCATAGTGGACCCATGTTATTATGCATGAATAACTTCAGGATAAGTGGTCAAAACTTCCCTCAGGTATAATACTAGGCAAGACTAGGATTTTCTTCAGATACTGTAAGACTTCACTATTTCTTTGATGTTCTTTGGGAATAACAGCAATGTTTGTCATTATATTGTTGTAGTATAATTTAGCAGGCTTAGTGAAGGTGTCCCGACGGTATCTCCCATTCTCTGAAAACTCTCACTAATTTTCATCAGATACTCATTCATTTGCTGAATGTCATGACTGGTCATGACTAAATGTAAAACTCTGGCTTCTTGAGTTCTGTAATAGACAATACAAGTATTTAGATTTACCAGGTAGATAATACAAGACTTAAGTTAACCAGAAATCTCTGTCAAGACTGTAGCTCTACTGGTTTGTACTTATAATAAAGAAAGAGAAAACTAGCAGTTGGGACATTTACAAAAGCAATCAATAGAATAATGACAAAAACAGATACACAGAATTATTTATCTTATTGTAGTTTACTTGTGTGCCAAGTTATATTGAAATCAGACCAAAACTGTAGGAGGAGTAGCATTTTGAAAAACTGTTTACAGACGGACAGACATACAGACAGACAAACAGACGACGGACACATTACTATCGCATAAGCTCTTATGGTCTTTGACCAGTAGAGCTAAAAATGATTAAAGGATCCCATTGGATCATGAAAACAGTTACACTTGTACATGTAATAGGTCATACATCCTCTCTACACCAGTGTAAAATGATTTTTGGACTTTGCGAAAATTATATTGAATAAAGATGTAAATAATAAGCTTCTCTATTTCATTTTCAATACATGATACATGGCATTTAACCCCAGGAAAAAAATGTTCAAACACAAAACAGTATCAGTAGAAATAATTGCTATTTACTTCTATGGAGAAGATACATGTAAACAACATGTTTATAATTTAGAATTTAAACTACATTGTATCTTGCCCTTTTAAAATGTTAAGAATACTTGATTTATTTATAAACTGAGTAATATAGTGTAAAGGTATATTTATTGGCATTTAAATCTAAGGGCAGATAAATAGAACAGAATCGTAACTCTTTAGTGTTCAGTGTAGAGAGGTTTCTTAAGGAAAGTGGTAGAAACTCTTGTCAAAATTTTTGAAAATAACAACTTGGGTCATGTTTTAATGAATAAAATGAATAAGTTTTACAGTGTAGTTTTTTTTTAATTTCTTATTCAAAGTTGCACAAAAATTGAATTTGAAGTAAAAAATATTTGTATAGAATAATTAGGATGATTTCAGATGGGTAGAAATTGGAACATCACAGAAGAACGTTTACATGCCTTGAAAAGTGGGTCAATAATAGTAGTTAATGTATATATGGAACATGAAAGCTGTATCCTCTATCCTTCAAAATTTATTACCAATGTCTAATTTCTTGAAAGATATAGAAGTCAAGGCTATTGGGTCAAAATTATAGTACATGGACACTATACCTCTTTATAATTTGGTTTTAATATGATGTTGAAGGCTCCATGAATGATCTAAATATCTTCCCCTTCCTTGTGATGCCCCTCACTTGGTCACACAGCAGAATGCTACAATAAATTGTATATTTTCATAAAAATAATTCAATTCCTTACAGGTACCAATTAAAGCACAATTATATAAGAATGAGTTGTTAATTTTTTTTGCCATTCACCACATATTTAACGGTACTTTTTATTTAGTTTTGTATGTTGACAGATCTAAAATAAATAACTGTGTACAATAATTCAAATTGGAGAAACTTTTTAATTAATATCTTGTTAAACTTTAAATGCATACATCATTATAGAGTGTTCAAGATAAACAAGGAAAATGAAATTTACAAGGTCAAGTCCAAAGATTATTTCTTATTCTACCCACATAGCTATTAATAGCTACAATGTACATGTATGTAGGTTAAAGCTACCCAAAGTAGCTATTTTACCCACTTCTAAGACCTACACATGTAGATAGAAATGCTTTAGTATAGTCTTTGGACTGTACCTTTTTACATTCATTTCGATTTAATTCTTTTTCAATAATTTCATCTACTCATAACTCTACGAACAAATATTATTATATTGTGTATCAGAAATTGTAGTTACTTACGTGTACATGCATGGTGTATAACACTGGTAGCGTTGCACCAGCTTGACCAATCAAATGACCTGCTCTCACATTTTCACATGTTCTGTTTGGAGGGGAATTCTTGGTCCATCTCCTCTGGTATTTTCAATATGCAGGTGTGAACTTAGAAGACTTGGAATTTGACAAAACTTCCTTCTTCACTTCTTTGTATTTTATTTTGAAGAAAAGTTAAAATAACGTCCACATTCGATAGTCATTCACCATGTTCACTGTATTTACTAAATAATTTTGCAAGTGTAACACATGGCATACGACCTACTTTAGACAATACATGGCCATTGCTAAAACTCACGAGTTGTTGAATGTCTTCAGAATAAACAATATCACATCTGCCAAGGAAGCTATACTGTATAATCTAAGCAGTTTTGTATAAAAATATCAGTAAAACACATCGTTTGTGAAAAGGAACTCCAAACCGGCAAAACGTCATGCTTACAAATACTTTTGTTTTTACCTTCCTTCGCTGTCGGAACTAGAGAGTTCTACAAAGGGAGATAATATTTTTGTGAAATGCTAGTTTTTTAAAATTTTGAAATGTATTTTATTTTTTTAAAGCAAAAAACACACATCCAGAATAATTATGAATAAATAATCAAGTATGTTTGCTTTCAAAATATTGTTAATATTTTATAAACCTATCTTGGGATTTTTTATAAAATGGCACTGAAAGTATGGTTATTTAGCGTGTTGGTTAAGGGTTAAAAATAGGAGGAAATTAAATTTCTTTAAAATAAAAAGGAGTGTTAGTGATGAAGCAAAATAATTTTTTATCTTTACTTCACACCTTGTTTTCACAATTTAATGCATTTAATCCAACCATAGTTCATTACTTATTTTGAATTTTTTATGTCAAATTAGGAGAAAACTGACCTTTTCAAACATGGGGGTAGCCACAAAATGTGTTAGGGGGCCATAACCTGGAGGATAGGTCACATCTCAAAATTTTTAATATACCTAATTAATCTCATACACATTCATAATTTTTTCATATATGTTTTATTAAAATCTGTGGTATTCGTTTGAACGGCATCTGTGGTCCTTACAGAGAATGACTCTTAATATGTTAATTATTCATTTTAATAACAGTCAACGCTAGCTCACATAAAACTTCGTCAATTAATAATATTTTAATTTCATGTAAATTACTTGAATCTGATTCGTCGAGAAACATTTGATAAAAACACTACTACCCGCTGAATAATGAAGCCACGCCCTCCTGCGTAGCAACAGTCAACATTGCTTGACGACGGGTGGTATTCCAAAAAATAGCGACTGCGCGGAATTTATGCGCGCACGGTTCACTGTAATATGTATTTGTATATATAATAAATATTGCATGTAGTTGAGTGTAACACTGAAAATTTTCACCCCTCGAAAACCATTGTCAACCTCGGCTGCGCCTCGGTTGACAATGGTTTTCTTGGGGTGAAAATTTTTAATGTTACACTCAACTACACGCAATATTTATATAATATTTGTTTTATTATTTACACAGATACGACACAGCCGCCTTGTTCCAAGGTAAAAAGAAGCCGGTGGATGCTGAATCCGTCCTCAAGTTAAAAACTTCCGTCTGTGTAGGTTACACCAATCTCTTCACTGCTTTATGTAGGTGCGTGATGCTGTATAATCCACTAACGCTTTATTTTGCAACAAGAAATGTTGATTTTAACACTCATCACCAAATTTGGGGGAGGTAAACTGGAATCACATTGTCCGCCTGTCTGTATTAATTCTTTGAACCCTCGGTAGCGATATTACCCCACCTCTGATGATTTTTCTACGAAATCCTGGCTTACGATTGGTTGAAGACTGTCACGTGAAGGCAGTGGATTACTTATACACGGTCAGTTGTAAATCTATACACGGTCAGTTGTAAATCTATACACGGTCGATGTATTACGTCACAAACACAAACGTGACGTCATAATAGGCACAGTATAAGCGTGATGAAGCATTTAGCAGAGAAAACCATTTATAAACTACAGATAAAACGTAAATGTTTCATCGGTGGGGTAAATTCGTTACATAGTCTGTTAGTGACAGGGTATGGGATGATACCTGGTTAGTAAATTTCATACCTGACTCGGCTCCGCCTCGCCAGGTATGAAATTTACTAACCAGGTATCATCCCATACCCTGTCACTAAAAGACTATGTAACTAATAATACATGCCAAGGGAATATGTGCAATCCCCATCTTGAGGGTTTTATTCCAAAAGAATGAAAAGCATAACAAGTGTATTTTGACGTGACTTTAGAGTATGTTCTTATTTAAACTATTATGAGTTGAACTAGGTCAAGGTCTCAATGGGGGTATCGATCCCATAAGCTTAGTTTTAATTATCTTTTTATATTAGTGTGATGAAGCACTCTTCTTTTTTTATCTACAGATGAATGCAAACTAGTACTTTGCTTTACGTAAATATTTGGCAATTTTTGCAAACTTATAATTCTTTCTGTTCGACTTTTTACACGGTTGCATAGTTTTTTTCACTTTCTCATTTATATATACAACTTGAAAATTTAGTGAAGCTTGAAAAATATTTATATATGTATAACAGGCAGTTAAATGATTTGTTTTGCAGGTGCGCTGACATTACAGTCCAAAAGATATCCGGATATGCCAAAGGCTATGACTACAACCCAGAAATCCGATTCGAATACGGTCACGCCACAAGTCATGCGTGGAACGCAGTGCACGTGGACGGAGAGTGGCGATTGGTGGAGTGTACGTGGGGAGCGGGGAATTGTGACGAATTAAAAAAATTCCACTTCGATTATCACGACCATTTTTTCTTCATGGATCCCGATTCGTTTGTTTTAACACATTTTCCATACGACCCAGATGTTAATATGGCCCTAGCTTGGCAACTCTTAGAGGAACCGTGGTCATTAGATAAATTTAATTCGTATATAAAGCCTAGTATGAAAGCCATTGAATGGGGTATCAACTTTGTCTCCCATTCGTCCAGTGTAGTTTTCTCAAATGGCGTATCAGTTTTTGAATTAAAAAGTAGCACCAAAAATCTGCCTGTTTTAAATGGCGAGCTTTACCCAGAGAAAGGTGAGAGCAACAAGACTTACACATACGCTTACAAAAATGGACCAAGTGATTACAAGTTGGTTGTACGACCACCCACTGTTGGAAAGTATACTCTTCGGATTTTGGCAAATGATAAGGAGGATGACGAGGCTTTTACTCTGGTCTCCTACGTCATCAAATGTGTAAGTACGGATGGACTCGTTCGTTGTTTTCCGTATCATTGGGGACTTTGGGGGCCATCAGTGAAACTGGACAAATTTGGACTGACATACGACGAATCCTCCTGTCCGTTATTCATGACAGAAAATGGCGAAGTAGAAATAAAGTTACCCCTTAAAAATGAACTAGATTGTTCCTGCAGGCTGAGCCATGCTGAAAATCTTCTAAGGGAAAGTGACGATTACGTCATGACGGAAATAAATGGCGGACATTTATGTACTCGAGCAAGGCTTCCAAAAGAGGGGTACTATAAACTACAACTTATGATCAGACTAGAGGACGACAGTTATAAACCGGTGTTGGCTTACATTCTGGGGTCGAAACAAACACTGCCTGTGATTCACAAACTACCGAAATGTTATAGGGCGGCAAGAGAGTTCAGATGTCGTCTGATTGAACCTCTGACGTATGAACTACCCAGAAACACCAAGATTCGGATGAGATTAAAATGTCCAAAGAATTTAAGTCTTGTCCTTAAGAAGCAAACACTCAAATTGGATAAGGTTGACGATTTATGGGATTTTCTTACCACGACGCCGAATGCGGGTGAAAAATTTTGCATTTCGGGAAAACTTCAAAACGGAGATTCTCGATCCACATATAAAGGATTGTATGAATTTTCGATTATATAGACCAGTGACTGGATTTGACATCAATTCAAAAATACTCGATTTTCCCCTGGTGCAATATTTTATCATAGGAGGGCCTTTATTTGTTTATTATGAATAATTTTACAAGCTGTCATTTTAATACTTTTGAGGAATCTGTGATAAAGGATTAAATTATTTTGCTTAGAATTAGTTTTTATATAAATCAATTGAATGTTTTTACACCACCGTCTCTTGATGGTCTACATGTGTATTATTATGGTTTTTAACGGATTATCTGTAAGCCTTTTTTTTTTATACCTGCTCCATATCTTGGTCATTGAACACGGAAAGATTATGAAGGAAAGATGTGTCCCAACCTAAAGTAGGTCGAAGTAACCTCGTTTTGGAATTTGACAGACATACATAATTAAATAGAGTCTAGATAATGTAATACATCATACACAATGAAACATAGAATCATAACAATAGGTCAATTGATTGATGTTAAAACACTTTTAATCAATATTCAAAAGAGGTCAGTCTAGATTTATCCGAAGACAGTTCTCACACACTGTGAATCAATACAAATGAATTTCAAACTCGAATTTCAATCCAATGTTTTCTCCGCGTCCGCGTCGAATTGTGCCCGCCCATTTCATTGTATATTATTGAATGTTTTGATTGTAACAGATAGAAATGACGAAAGCTGCATATTTCCAGTCTTGCCAGTTAATGTTTCGCGGTCCTATATAGTTTCAACTTGTCACGTAAATATAAAGTATGCATAAACAAGCAAATTCAAAGAATTGTGGTCCCCCGCTTTCGGTTTCTTTGTGGATGAGATGTTATTTTTTATGACATATTGTGTCTAATATGAACATCCTATCATTTCATTTATTTAGAAATTATCATTGAAGTTGATTTTTTTGGAAGGATGAAAACCCTAATCCTGACCGTTAAAAAGTTATGACCAAAGTAAAAAAAGTTTTTTTTTAAAAGTAGGTCAACTCCAAGGTCAAGATCAAAAGGTCAAATTTATTTTTATTCAATGAAAGGTTTTCTCACAAGGATTACATATGTGAAGTATGAAAGCCCTAGCCCTTACTGTTCAAAAGATATGGTCAATGTTAAAGTTTTTTCATAAGTACGTAAATATTTAAGGTCAAGGTCAAAAGGTCAAAGTTGTTGATATCCAATGAAAGGACTTGCCATAAAGAATACATATATAAAATATAAAAGTCCTAGTATCAACCGTTAAAATGTTGTGACCAAAGTTAAAGTTTTTTAAAAAGTAGTTAAAACTCCAATGTCAAGGTCAAAGGGTCAAAGTTGTCAAAAGGTCAAAGTTGTTGATATCCAATGAAAGGACTTGCCATAAAGAATACATATATGAAATATAAAAGTCCCAGTATCAACCGTTAAAATGTTGTGACCAAAGTTAAAGTTTTTTAAAAAGTAGTTAAATCTCCAGGGTCAAGGTCAAAAGATCAAGGTTGTTGGTATCCAATGAAATGTCTTGCCAGAAGAAAAACATATGTGAGATATAAAAGTCCTAGTATCTACTGTTAAAAAGTTGTGACCAAAGTTAAAGTTTTTTAAAAGTAGTTAAAACTCCAGGGTCAAGGTCAAAGGGTCAAAGTAATTAGTATTCAATGAAAGGTCTTATCACAAGTATTACATATGTAAAATACGAAAGCCTTAGTCCTCACCGTTCAAAAGATATGGTCAAGGTTAAAGTTTTTTAATAAGTACGTAAATCTCCAAGGTTAAGGTCAGAAGGTCAAGGTTGTTGTTATCCAATGAAAGGTCTTGCCACAAACAATATATTTGTGAAAGATGAAAGTCCTAGTACCTACTATTCAAAAGTTATGGCCAAAGTAAAAGTTTGGAATTTTTGTGTAAAAGTGGGTCAAACTCCAAGGTCAAGGTCAAAAGGTCAAATGTGGTGGTACCCAAAGAAAGGTCTTGTCACAAGGAATACACATGTGAAATATGAAAGTCATAGCTCCACTAAATCAAAAGTTATGGGCAAGGTTAAAGTTTTTGTGACGAACAGACTGACAGACTGACAGACGGACAGACTGACAGACTGACGGACAGACGAATGAGATTTAATGTCCCCTCGCTTTCGCGAAAGCGGGGGACAATAAAGATAAATAGACAACGTCAAACTTGTTTGACACCAATGAATCCTAAATTTACTGCATGAAGTGGTCTCCTGGATTAGGCAGCATTGAGTTTTAATTTACATCGGATGAAGCAAGTATTTGGAATACACAGCAGCCGGTCTAAACAAGTTTTACTGTATCACCATGAAGATCATATTGAATGCATGCAAGTCGCTTTTTAATACAAGAAATGTGGTTTACTTCCACGATGGTGCTCATCCTCTTGACCTTTACCCAAAACTAAACGTCTAGTTATTTTTTAAGAAGTAAAAAATACGCCTTTTCAATTATAGATTTCGCAGGATGAGTTGAAAAGAATGTTTCCACTTAAGCATAGTGCTGTGGCCCCTTTTTCGGACCCCTCTAACTTTATCTAATTAACTCAAATGTTAAATATTTTACACATAACTCATACTTTGTTATCTTTGTGGTATATAACTTGCAAAAATTCACACTGAAAACGGCGTCTTAGTTTTATAAATGGTAATTTAAAAAGCCATATACTTCGTGTTAAATCCGGAATGTTGCGCTTGTCCAAGTTGGGTATTAATTGTGTCACATTAATATTCAGTGTAGGCGGGGCATTATATCGATCGATTGAAAACGTAATATTTAGCCAGTTATAGTGGCTTTTGGAATTTAATACAAAATACAAACTGTATACAGAAAAATAAACACAAAGAATTTTTCAAGGATTACGACATTTTTTTTTTTTACGAAAGATGGTATACTGGGGGAGGATCTTTGAGATGTATATATATCCCTATAAATTCAGATCCCCCATCTTGTGGTCTTTTCTCGGTGGAAATTTAACACTAAATTAAATAAACTGAGCCTACTTGAATATGAAAACGGGGAAAATCTTATTTAAGAAAAACTTCTATATTTTTTAAAAGGTTAGTGCCGTATTGCAATTTTAAACACCTCTCTCTCTTGTACTTTCATTGGCGTCGGAAGCAATTTGAAAGTGGGGGGGGGGGGGGCTAAGTGTAAAAAAAAATTTTTGTACCTCCCAAAAAACCTGACAAGCAAAAAAAAAAAAGAAAAAAAAAAGGAAATGTCTATTTCCCAAACGCGAAAATCCTATTTCCGGGGGGGGGGGGGGGGGTAGTAAGATTAAAACTACAGTACCCAAAATTTCCTTCCAAACACCACCACTTTCCCCATTCTTAACCGAAACTAAGACGTATCAGTGGAAAGTGGGGGGGGGGGGCTAAACTTACGAAGATATATTCAATTAATGTCTATACTAAGTATATATTTGGAAAAAAAAGTGGGGGGCTAAGCACCCCCTAGCCCCCCCGGTTCCGACGCCTATGACTTTTTAAAGTACAGACGGTAAATACTCCGTACTTCTCACAAATAATGGTGTACAATATTTTTTTGTGATGCTGCATGTAGTGACATTTTAGCACTAAAACAATTTTATTAATAATTGTATGTGCGATTGGTTTTTTTCTTTTGTTTTATGATTTTTTTTGGGGGGGGGGGGTACCAGTAAGAATTCCATGCCAGTGTTAAACAATCTACATATTTTACCCTGTGTCCTTATATTTTTACAATCCAAAACACTTTGAGGAATGATGCTACTTCGAAGATGGGAGCTAAATCTTTGAAACTCGTTGAGCCTCTAAACGTGCCCCTTAAATCCAAGGACTAAAAATTAAATATTGTTACATTTTTTTCCAATTTAATATTCCAGCACCCAATTTAAACACTTGACAAAAAAAAGAAATAATTCTATGTTGATTGATTGAAAATGTACATGTAACGGTCGAAGTTGGACGCCTTTCGACGGAATCTACAATCACGTGATTTATCGATTTTTTGTATTCACAATGTTACCCGAGTCTACAAATCACGTGGTAAATTGGAATATCAAACAGGTCACAGTGAGGTCAATGACATGTAAATACCCGTAAACAGTGAAGAAAACTGTCGGCGTTTTGTACCTTTTTTCAAAAAGTTTACCCCGAGCGCAGGCTTGCCCAAAATTCTCCCTTAAATATGTTGAATTTCCAAAAGTTCTACACCTTCTGTCCTTTTGAGAAATTTGGGCAAGCATGCGCTCACTATGTATTTCAGCTCTAAAAATCGGAATAACTTTGAATAACAATGGAGATTCGTGATTTGCATTGACCCCTCTTACAAAACACAGTCTCGTTCTTCAATATTACTCACTTTTAATTTCTGTAATTTTGCAAAGTTGCGATCTAGACCTTGAAGAATTGTTTTATTAATTTCATTAGGCTACTTTCTATACCGTATTTTTGCGCAATTTACCGGGGGCCACGTTTAGTACACTAAGTGCAATCATTCTTTGGGGGAAATTGAGGCTTTATTGAGCCAGGTTCTTTTATATTTCAAGCAAAATATTGAGACATTTTAAAAGACAGTACGAAGATGAGGTTTAAATAAGTATCATATTTGGAGTTTTGATTTGTGTCTTTGATCTGATAATCTTTTAATGTCTGATTTATTGGAATATAATAACCGCGATGTTTTCTCTGATCTTAGGAAAATTTATATGTTTATGATCTCACAACTAGGATACAGTCAACACCCATACTTCTGGACCAGGACATTTATATTGGGGAATTGATACTTCAGTAAAACTATTATTAAACGATTTTCATTTAAAATCTCCTGCGCTTTACTGGCCCATTAGTTCTTTACATCCTATTCCCAAAAAACTTAGTTAAAATTCAGTTTTGGCAATTTATAACCTCGATGATTTATATATATATATATTTTTAAAAATACAACAATCTCGCCTGGATTGCAGTCTTATTAATCCGCTATCTACATGAATTTATTATTATACGTCGTATAACTAATAGACATTACACAGTATTATGCTTGAAACGGAGATTTTATGCGAAAACACGCTATCGTTTTCGTTCTCCAAAATTGTACTGCACAAGTCCTTCCCACGTTACCTTGAATTATCTAATTAGGTTTCTCCTTTATTCGTCTGAAGTTTCATTAATTAAGTTTACCAGAAACGCTTGCT